AGGAGAAATTCAGGCGATGTCAGCGCAGGGAGCTGGATGGATCAGCTGGTGTGTGAAACCACGTCAGTGTTGAGTTAAAGGTTCAGTGTGTGGGTTTTAGTGGCATCTAGTGGTGAGGGTGGCGTCTACGGTGGCCGACACGCTCTGACTGCGACCATTTCACAACGGGCACCACGTGTTTAATGTCACGTGACTTGGGTCGTGGGACTTACACGATGTAGTTAAGTTCACTTTCCAGGTGTCTTATATGTTGTTTAGTTGAAACATTCTCTTATATTGTTTTGGGAAGAATTGACCTATTTTGTTGTTTAGGTAATTGTTTTTCCTCTAGCGCCACCAACAGGTTCGTGTATTTAGAATGATTTATATTCTTGTCATCTAGCGGCGTTTTTAAAATTTATTTGTCTAATGCTTTTCTGGTTACGTTTGTGACCAATCTACTGACAAGCCTCAGCTGTGCTGTCTGTTTAGAGCTAAGGTAAGAGTGCTGTGATTTGCCGCGATAATGCTGAGCTTGGCGTTGATCTCCTGGCCTGTCATCGACCCGCAGCCCTCAGTGTTAATGAAGGCCAACCTGTTGGCCCGTCTGCCTTTGAACTGCATGCAATGGATGTAGCTGTTCAACCTCTTTCACACGTGGCCCTTTCCTGTTTTTCTGACACTGACGTCGTCCCCTCCACCCATTTGAAACAACAGGGCCGAGACGGGGGCTGTATATTAATCTGGTCCCCTATATTAAGGTCAATAGAACAGCCCGGTCAGTCATAGCAAACACAGTGGAGACTCGGGTCTAAATCAATTTACTTAGGAAAACCCGAGGTCACGGAGGGTTAAGTAAGAGATGGCGGGGGGGCGGTGTTGTTCCTCTATTCAGCATATCTGATTTAATACGCATCGGAGCAGGGGAGGCGAGGGGGGAGGAGGGACGTACCAAATAAACTCAGCGGATATTAAAGGTCAAGGGGTCGTCTAACATGTGTTTTCTGAGACAGACCTACTGAAGACTAAAGCAGACGAGTCACAGCTGAGACAGATGTGGACCCAGTTAAGCGTTTTGACTGGTCACACAGGCACAACACGCCGCCAGGTGAAAAATATTTACTTTCAGCGCGTAGGTCAAGATAATGAGTTGGATTTTCAAACAGCTCAGGATAAGTAATAAGTAATACAAGTAATTTGGATCAAAGTCAAATGTTGTGCTGCCACTATTTTATCATTTCCATTTACAACCTTTAATCTCAAAATAAGCTACAGCTGGTGCATTCTTATCAGAGCGTTTGATTTGTTTTTTATTTTCTTTCCTAATTATTATAATAAACTTTCAGGGAAATCGGTTCTCTGCATTTAACCCATCCTAATTAGGAGCAGCGGGCACCTTCAGCTGTGGCCCGTGCGGGACTTGAACCAGCAACCCTCCGGTCCCCAACACAAGTTCCCACAAACTGAGCGAATGGCATCCCATTGTTACATGGCAATCCTAAATTAAACCCTCATCGTGTAAGTGCAATGTTTGATGCTTTAATTTTTATATTTTAGGTGTTGAGACACGTCAACTTTTAGAGCGAAATTCACCTCAAAACATTAGAAATGTGTCAAAAAGAACGAGTACTAAAGACATATTTTGCCTTTCTGTGAGATTTTTAGTTTTTTCTTATTACGGCGTATAACTGACCAACCGTTCTTTTTCTTTTTTATATATCCTACCTCCATAGCAATTCTCTTTAACTGTGCTGAATTTTCCACACGGCCATCAATGTTTTATCAAATGTTGGTGGTGACCTCTCCGAGTCAAAAGAGCGAGACTATTGTTTTGGCAAATTTTTACAGTAAGTCAGACAGAAAACTACTAGAGAACTAGAAACACCATTTTCTACACCTACAACAACCAGATGTAGTTTGGTTTCTGGGAATTAAACAACACTTTGTTGCAATATAACTGAAAACACTGAAGATCACAGGTTAAAGGTATTTAAAAGTAAAATATAAAGTAATCCTTTCAGGTTTTGGCAGTGACATGTTCAGTTTTTGCTCCTTTTACGTCAGCTGTGAACTTTATCTCCAGCCACTCTGACGTACTTGAATCTAAAACCCTAATAAGTTTCTCCCACACTGGGGACAGATATGAACACAGCAACGTCTCACGAGCAGACGCACCTCTGTGGAAGTCATCAGTATCAGATGGCAAGATGGGGAAAAGATTTCTCACGAAACAGTTTCAAAAGACATTTAATATTATTTTTGTTCTCTGAGGTAAGATTATTTCCATATGGAAGTGGTACAAATGATACCTTAATTTTTTAACAGTTATGATATAACTTCCGTGTTTTATTTTCATTTAATTTCACTCATTTCATCGTTGTGCTGGCAGGCCGCACTGATCCAGTCTCTGATCAGGCTGCAGATGGTCGTTTACTTCTTCCAGGAGCATAAAGGGATCATGCAAAGAAAAATCAAGACACAAACCAAGCACAGGAGAGCGTCGCTTTGTCGATTTCTCCCCCGGATTAAGTCGATTTATTTTAATTTTTTAAAATAAATGATAAAAGTATATGTTTTTAATTGTTTCAAAATAAAAGCAAGGGTAGAGAGAAATCCGAGACATTTTTTCTTCAATGACTAGAACTGTGTAATTAGACAAGAGTTTATTATTGCACACCAGCAGGTGGCGCTAACGGTGTTTTATATATATGACTTTGTGAAGAAGTGATGCTGTTTTCCAGGCGAATGGTGGGTGAAGGAAAACACCAACTTTTGATTTGATTTAGATTTTTTTTCATTCATGTCATTGCTTTGCATTTTGTTCATTGATGAACATAATCTATTTTTGAAAGCACTCTTACTTTACAGCATTTTTTCCCCACACCTGCCTAAAACTCTTGCTGAATATCAAATATGACACACGCTTGATTGAACTACTCAGCAGTATAAGATTAGATTCAAAAGAAACTAAGTTGGCACGTTATGAAAGTGAGTTTAAAACTAATATATCACAAAGCAAACGTAATTCTGACGTACAGGAGCACAATCAGCTGATTTAACCAGCACATGTGTCAGCTGATACTGTTGCCATTATACAGTTTGTCCACCAGAGGACACTGTTTCAAAGTGTCACGCTCGGTGCATGTCTCGGTCACAACTATAAAGTGTCAAGATCAGATTATTTAAACTCTCAGGTATCAATAGTATCTGCCCCAAATATCCATAATTTAAAGGGCTATAACTATTACACAGGTTAAATAATTTAACTTTTACTGCAACAACAGCAGTGCGCTGATCTCCTATTAAACTGTAAGGGAACACTGACACACCGACACATACAGAGCTTTGGGTGCAGGTCTAGGGTCCTGAGGTGCAGAAGGGCTCGTTTTGGCAAAGGCCTGGTACCAGCAGCCCCAAACAGGTGGGTCTTTGCTCACCTGTCCTGTCTGTTGTTGTTGTATGTTGTTTGTGGTGTACATTAGTTGGGAAATGATATGTGAGGAGGAAAATGTTGAATTGTGATTGGTGATGTGAAAAGGAATTTCCCTCTGGAGACCAAGTCTAATCTGGTGCCTCGTGTTCATTTTAGGTTTGAGGTAATTGAGATTCAGAAACCTTTCAAATGAGGTTGACATGTGAGTTTAGTTTAATATTTGTTCTCTGCTTGTTCTTCCTGTTGTTTTGTGGACCTTAAGATTGTCTCTAAAGGATCCATCAGGTGGAAACGTGAGAAGGACTCGATCTGCTCCACGACACGCAAAGTTCTCTGGGAGTAACTTTGACAAGAAGAATCAATATGAAAGGCTGCAGCACTGAATTCCTCCCCGTTCAACTATTTTTATGGAAGCACGTGTCCAGTGTCAGTGACAGAAGATGTCATGGAGATAAAGAAGGGCAGAGTGCAAACATTCAAACGCAGCTCAAAAGAAAACATCAAGACAGAATTAAAACTACAAATCTACTGTAGCCTGTGGTGAACAAATGCCAGATATTTAATTTCAGGTTTACATCACTAAACCTTCAACCAAATGGGCATCTGTGGTTTAAAGTTTACTCATTTTGAAGTACAGTAAAACACTTGTTTACTTCACGGTAATCAGCCTGCAAGTCTTCAAGAGGACAGAAAAACACATTCATCCAGTGAGACAGTCAGATGCAATAGTCAGTTCATAGGCTCCACCTACTACATCCTACTTGCACTATCTGGGATGTACACTGAAGCTGCCAGTAGATGTCAGTATGTCATTTGAAATGAACGCCCATCATGAACCTCAGCAGAGGAGTCTCCAAACTACTACAGGAAATTAAGATTTGAACTGTGTATTAATCGCGGAATTAAAGCAGTATTACCTTTAATAAACTGTTCAGAGTTCTGCATCTAAAGGGCTTTTAAAACTATATTTAATCTATATTCCATAAAATCCATTTTATTTTCCTATTAATACTCAGAGCGAATACACGGAATTAAGAACAAATATGTCAGTGTTATTGTGCTTTGCGGCAGCCCTTAATCAGCTGAATATTCCCCTGTATAATGGAGAATAGGGCCTATACAGATATCATTTCACAGATTCGTTAGAAACCAGGCATTGCCGCTTTATTCCCTCAGTTGTCTTTAATTTAAATATCTGACAGCGTCAGTTAATCGATAAGGTTGGCTATCTTCTTAAATATTATTCCGTTGAAGAAGGTAAATTTAAATTGAAATGAATGAGGAAAATTAGAAGAAAGGATAGAAATAAGCACTTGGCTAATTACACATTATAGCAGCTGTACCTGCATGAATATCAATTCATTTTATTTATAAAGGATGGTTCAATCAGGGAACAGTCAACTCTACAAAACGCTTTTGCATCCTACCATAAAAGCAGCTTAAAGTGTTGCAAAAAATGCAACAAAAAATCATTTAAGGAAACATACAAAGATAAAGTTAAGAGATAAGAAGACAACTGAAAAAAAAGATAAAAGAAGGGCATCAAACCACCGGTATTTCCAAGAGCCTATAAATTATTAACTAACTTATAACCGGTGGAGCCTGGACATCTTTATTTTATATATATGTTTAATAAATACTCTTTAAAACTGCCTCAGTCACAGCCAACATGCTCAATCTTTAAATTATTGACTGGGGTTTTGTTTAAATATAATTCTCCTGTCTCGATAGTTTTAAAGACGACGTTGTTTTAATTGTGACATCTTTAATGCATCAGCAGCGGTTTCTCCGGTCTGTCCTATCTGAACCCGGAGGGGGAGGCAGAGGGGGGAGTCAGAGGAGAGGGAAGGAGGGAAAGAAGTTAAGTGTGGAAGTGCAGAGAGGGTGGGCGCGGTGAAAAACTGCGCATCCTGGACTCCGCAAAGCCCCGCAGCATCCCGGTGAAACAGCCGCCGGTGAAGAAGGTTCCTCTCTCCTAAAAGTCACTTCGGTGTCTGTTTCGCGGTGTTTTCTAACTTTGCTTGTGCGGGATGGACCCGTGATGCGGAGCCACGCAGAGCAGTGAACTTTCCCCGTCTACGTTCCTCATCCACGCGCAGGGCGCAGACTCTTTCTGGGCAGGACTTACTTTCCCCCAAAATACGCGCTCCGCTCCGCCGCGCGCCCTCCTGTAGATGGGATTTCATGTTTTTTGAAGGGGATTTCTGCATGATGGTTTTATTTCTTCCTCGCTGAGAGAAAAAAAAAAAGTTTAATTTCAACAAACGTGAAGAAGGAAAAAAAAAAAAAAAAACCCCGAGGCTGAGGAGTCGAGAGGAGATCCGAGCGGACAAAACTCGCCGGGACGAGAAGAGGGGACGCTTGGGTGAGTTTGAGTCGCTGTTGGCCATGTGCTCATGGGAAAACAGCGGAGCTATAATGTCTGCGAGTCAGTGCGGACTGAGTTAAATTAAACCATGAGATGTGTCTCTGTAACAGCGGTTTTATTTTCTTTCAGGATTTAATGAAGTCCCGTTCTTCATAATGAGTCCAGCATGTGGCTCTTGTACTTTATGGTGTTGTTTTACATTCTGAAATATCACTCTGATATCTTACAAAGTTACTGACTCACTCTTTTAATAACATACTGCACAAATATATACCTGCTGGTTCCGCTGCATATTATCATTAGGACACACTGAATGTATAGAATGAGTTCATTTCTTGGAAAGAGTTATTTCAGGTTATTTGAGGTTTACAATGAAGCTGGAATTCCTGGAATTTGCAACCTGATAGTTAAGATGCTCTATAAACCAGCCTGCAGAGAAATGATTTGAGGAAAGTTTTCTTTTTCCCTCCTTGTTTTCATTCTGGGGTCTTTTTGCACCTTTTTCAACCATTATTTGTATTAATTTTTTAAAGATATTTAAAGTTGTCTGCAAGTCAAAGTACCTCTTTGCATCACTAAAATAAGTGGAAATGAATCCTTTGTGTTTTCTCCCTATCATCTTCTATTGATTTCCTCTGAAATCAATGTAAAATAAGAGATTTTTCTGCAGCTACACAGAGATCTACAGAAAAAGGCCTCACAGATTTAAGTGTTTTCTTTTATTGGACACTGAAGCTGATTGAATCATCATTTTTCCATCTCATAATTGAGACAAATGTGAGAAAGTAAAACAAAAAACCGAGTGTAAAGCCCTCCAGGCTCGTCCTCTTTGCCTCAGAGTAATTTTTTTTAATGCTGAATGGCCGGTTGTGTTCATTTGCATCAGAAAAAAGTTTTAGTGCATTTGCTATTGTGCAGAATGAAGAGTTCCAGCAGTCAGGGAGCGGAGAGGGAGGAGGGGGGTTTGTGAAAAGATGTGAAGAAATAATGGGGCCCTTCACATTATTCAGGATGACATGGGGGCTTCCCAAACCTGTGATGGGGATGTCACTTTCATCCTGCCCTGAGCGCCTTCCCTCGCTGTCATTTTCACACATTTCCACCCCCGCGTCCCGTTTGTTCGTCAGTACTGATTGCAGCTCTGATTCTCTGGCACATCTGTGGTGAGTTTAATGACTGAAACACGCGGGGAAATGATGGATTCAGTGCAACAAAAAAAAAAGGGGGAAAGTAAAGAAAGGAGTCTGGCATGCAGGGTGCGTTAAATGTGAATTGGAAGTGAGTAAAACGCCCTGCTGTGAAGACTCAAAAGTCTCTTATCCCACAAAACAACAAGTCCACACCAATTACGCCATGTGGCCCCGGGGCAGTTGTTCCTTGTGGGTTTTGTGGTGAAAAGAAGCATCAGAGGCTTTACACAAGCTGGGAAGTAAATCCACAAAACCCAAAGGGGAAAAAGCTCCCTGCATCTTTTAAAATCTACCACCAAAACCTCCAAACAGGCTTAAACACACAAATTAAATTTGTAGGTAGAAGTGGTGCAACGACAGATGACTGAGACGATCTCTGTTTATTTTAGCTTCGTCTTTCCTCTGTCTGACAACTAAACCAACCTGCAGGCTCAAATTTAGGATCTCTAACTAACTGCAACTGTTATTTTCATGATGAATCTGAAGAGTTAAAAAAAGCAAATCCCAATTTTTAAAATAGTCCAAAATCTAAATGTAGATAGTTTACTGTCTAGAAAGGCAGATGATGTTTGAGAAGCTAAATAGTCGTCAAAAATGTTCCTGAATTACTAATCAGTTATAATAATTCAACCTTGCTGACACATCATGAGGTGAGCAAAGCAGCAGTGATTTACTGCACCATGTGAGAATTAAAAAGGTTTTAAAGCAAACTGAAAAGAAAAAGAGGTTTTTACAGCAGAAACAATTAGTTAATTCTTTTATGAAGTAAAAAGACCAATTATTCTCCTCTTAAAAGGCTCTTAAATGTGAGGATCTGCTGCTTTTCTGTGTTATATCATTGCAAAGTGGATATATTTGGCTTTTGGACTGTTTTAAAGACGCACTGTTTTTATGAAGCACTGACTGATTTCTGTTTTTTTTTTCAACTAAACAATTAGTAATTTGATTAAAAAATAACAACAGATTAATCGATAATTATCCAAATGGTTAGTTGCACTCTAAAGTAGAAATCCTCCCTGTTGCGAGTGTGCAGATGTTTGAGGCTGCTGACCTGCCAGCACGCTTCCTCTGGTATGTTTGGATTACAGCCGTTATGGTTTTACGTTGAAGTGGATTACACTGTTTGCTTTTCTCACTGACTCCTGCTAATCACCTCAAACAGGGTTCAGAAGTTACAACAGGATTATTTTTGCCAGTGCAGCCGGGACACATGAGGACAGACTGTAGAGAAGTTAAATGATGCCTCTGTGAAACTCTCTCCCTCCTCACACACTGAGCTCTACAAACATTTATTTTGCCAGTTACTCTGAAACTCCGGTCACTTTTTCCACCAGATCTTAGAAAACACAAGAAACTTCCTCCGACAGAGGAAAGCAGCTATCAGGCAGCTGCAATTACACATGATGAAAACCGAGCCGTGTTTAATGCAACGGCATCACACGCGCAGACCAAGAGACGTCAGAAATCAAAGGTCCAGGGGCCGCTGGGGGCCTGTAGTTCCGGAGCTCTTCGGGATCAGCTTTGATGCGTCTGTTAATTAACTCCTGAAGGAACGGCGGCAACGCCACGATCAGGCCTGACAGGCGGCGAGTGGAGCAGGGGAGTCCGTGTGTGCGTGTGAAGGATGGCCCCCGCTGTGAGGACAGACGCCCACGACGACGTGTTGACACGTCGAGAAAACGAATGATCCCAGATGATCTCAGAGGAGTGTTTGCCTCTCTCTGGAGGGACAGATCATCCTTCAGCGGGCCGGTTTGGTCATCACAGGGCGGTTATCAACAGATGTGATAGCTTTGCCGTGTTCAATGATCGCCTCGTGCTGACTGGCGGCTTCTTGATGAAGAGCCTCTGCCTCTGACGAGCAGCTGAAGCGAAAACAAGCTCTTGAAACGCTGCCAAACCGCAGCAGCATCGACCAGGCTGAGCAAACGAGCGGGACGGCTTTCTTGGTTGTTTTTTTCTTCCCCCCAAATTTTTTAACATGTGGCGCCCGGCCCATGTGGTATTCTTTAGCAATCTACCGTGAGCTCCATCAGACCTCGAGGTCAGGAGGAATCTGTCCGGCCCCCGGACGCCCCCTTCTTTCCTCCCTGCAGGAAGGGAGACAAACTTCATCTCGGGGGGCCCCTGGAGGTAAGTGACGGGGGCCCCTGAGGTTTTCCACTGTGTCACAAGGTATTAGCTCTGCTTTCAGGTGAGAGTGCTGCAGTTTGACAGCTGTATAAGGCTGTTTCACGTGTCGCCACTTTGCACTGAGCGACTTTCAGCTCTGCAGAGACGAAAACACACCACAGAACTGAAATACTCCACAGCCCTGCCTTCCACTAACACTACAGAAGTCAAATGTGCACATTAAAGGTAGTATAAAGCAGCAGAAAATAAAAACAGTAAAGTACAAATACCTCAAAGCTGTACTGAAATACAGCACTCAAGTAAACTATGTAGTAACATCCCACCAACTTGCCTTATAAGAGCTCAACAGACTAAATATATCAGATGTATTTTCCCTGATAATGTTGACAATTATTCTGGTTATTTTTGACTCCAGATGTCTTATTTTATAGGACTTGGTCGTCTCACCCTTTTGTATTTATAAACATGTGGTTCTAGTTTAATTTCTAGTCTCACATTTTGATTTACATCTATCTGTCTCACTGAGCAGTCAGAGCTTTAAAATTCTACAGTGTGCTTTCTAACTTTATTCTGAAAATTCCTATAAATGTAAGATTAGCCTCCTGTCATTATTATCTGAGACGCATGCACACACAGAGCAGCTGTAGGTTGGAGCTTAGGAGCCACGAGGGTGCACGTGATGTACATTTTATCATCTGCGTACGTGCACTAAATGCCCCAAAGAACATGTTTGAACAGGTTTTGTGTCGACAGACACCAAATGTAGTGTGAACACAACTGTGTTCATCAGCAGTCTGTCTGCACACAGCAACACGAACAACATACTCTTCTGTTTATGTCTCTAAAAAATACAGATTCAACTCTTTAGTAACTTTGACTGCATTATGCTCTGCAGGTGTTCTTGTTATTGTGTCCACACCCCTTGGCATGCACACACACACACACACACACAGAGACACACAGACACACACTGTTGTTGCCTGCCAGCTGTGACTCAGAGCAGCAGGGAGTTTCCCTGGACGCATCAACAAGTGTCCAAACACCCGTCAAACATTCCTAAAAGGTGTTGTTTGAATTAGTCGGTATGGTGTGTTTGTGTGGTGACGGTTAAGTGAAATCTTGTGATTATAATGTAGAAATTAGCTCTCAGAAGCTGTTACCATGTCAGGGATCGACAGTGAAGACAGGAAAAACAACCAAAACAACTTCATCGAGCAAAGAGTTCATTTTGGCCACGATAGAAAGTCACAACCCAGACGTTTTGACCAGCATGCTCGAGAGGTTCCCACGCTCACCTGGACATCAAGGTCAAGGGCGTTTTGATGAGTTTCACAATCTTGTTTGGTAAACTTTGGGGGTGTAGAAGTCTCGTGATCTGTCACAAACCTTTCACAGTTTTATTAAACCAGTCGGTTTTAAACCTGCTGCTGTGTCAACACAAATCTCATCACTGGCAGCGTGTAAACTGTCGCTCTGAGGACAGAGAACGTGTCAAATTCTGGATTTTAAAGAGGATTAGATGTTTGGATTGAAACAAAAGTACTCGTTAATCAGTCCTTTGTTGTACTGTGCAGCACGACAGCATGGATCTGTATGAATGAAGCTGGATGAAGCGAAGTTAAAAAGAAGGACTTACTGTAGGTGTTGAGAAATTAAAGGAGCCTTCCGGGCAGT